AACCAGGTTACCGATTTTTTTTACCTCCAGTTTTTTTTTGGGCGGTAACCATACTGGTGGTCGAGTAGATCATGTCGTGCGGGGTCGAGAACCCTCACTCCGCGCAAGGGAGATGATCGCACCACGTTGTGTTAAAATGGTCAAACACCCTCGAGGCAGTTACACAGTGCTTACAACTGTCTCTGGAAGTGAAAGCACCAGAAAGTAAATTAAGTCATACGCAGCTGTCATCCGTACGCAAGGAAGTAAGCACAAGATGCCGAAAACCCNAAATATAGTCTAAACAGCAGATCAAAGGCCAGTACCAGGTCACATATAAAACACATGATAAGAAAGCCCCCCCCGCTGAAAGAGTGCAACACAAAGAACAACATCAACGAATACGAAGTCACGATGCGCGCAAAAAGTCTCCTTGGGCAGTGGTTTGGTCAAGACATCCGCGCGTTGCAGGTCCGACCGTAAGTGGACTACCTTGGACTCCCCCCGGACTACACGCTCACGGATGAAACTTTGGCGGATGTTGATGTGCTCGGAGGTGGGGGTAGTAGCCGGGTTACTTGCCAAGTGAATAGCGCCTTCGTTGTCCTCCCACACCGGAGTGCACCCCACATCACGGCCCGGAAAGATAAATTTCCACAGATACCGCCGAAAATTGGCCTCCTTCATCCCATCAGACATCGTGCGAGCATCACTAGTGCCCCAGAAACAGACCGCCGGTCGGTTGCCTTGTTGGCGAAGTCCGAATCGACAAAAAGTTCCATGTGGTCTCCTCCCACCGTGCCCCTCTGAAAAGTAATCCCGTACCCGCTCGTGAATCTAACATACATCAAAACATGCAAAGCCGCCTCCCAGTGCAGTCGCTTCGGCGCGTGCGAATACCTCGCAACGGCACGCACCGCGTTGAGAATATCCGGGCGAGTCTGATTCGCCAGCCACATCAAGTGTCCCACTAGCGACCGGAAAGGCTCGTCGACATCGGGCTCGTCGGCGTCGTACTGCTCANAATCTCGCAACGGCACGTACCGCGTTGAGAACACCCGGGCGAGTCTCATTCGCAAGCCACATCAAGTGTCCCACCAGCGACCGGAAAGGCTCGTCGACATCCGGCTCGTCGGCGTCGTACTGCTCAAGCTTCAACCCAACGACCATAGGTTAGGTGTCTCTTTGTCCGTTGTCACACCGAACTTGGCAATGATCTTCTCCGCTACAGCCTGCTGCAAAATGGTCACCGTCCCCAACACCGTGTCACGAGAAAACCGGCAACCCGCATACCAGCGCAGTTCCCCAAGGTTGGAAATGGGCACATACCGGTTGAGGTCAACACCAAACTGATCGCACCTGCTCTTGAGCCCGATAGAGAAGATGTCGTCTACGTGGATCACAACCACCATGGTGACTACACCGCTCTCGATCAGACGCATCACACACGCATCGGCGGCACAAGGCTCGAAACCAAGACTCTTCATGCCACGCATCAAGTGATGATGCCATGTGCGGGACGCCTGCTTCAGACCGTATAGGCTCCG